TTTTTATGCCAAAAGGAGTCTGTAAAAAGAGAAAGATCAAAGAAGGGAAACAGGAATAAAGTTCAGCAGTGAAAAGATCACCTTTCAATTCTTCCTGTAAAACGGGAACAAAAATAATTTTAATGTGGTGAGAAAGGTATAGTTAACAAGTGTGGGTGAAGGGAGAAAGAGACTACAAAAACTGTGAAAAAAGTTTCTTTCTTAAACTGTAAAGCACTGATAACCATGATGCTTTCGAACTTTATTCCTTTATAACTGCAGCTCGTATTATGAAAATGTAATAGTAAAAAAGTGCATACGGTAATAGGGCAGAATACACTATCTTGTGTGGTAGTAAATTAAGAACATGGCTCTAGAGGCAAAAAAGCAGGAGTTTAAATTACTGTCTAGTCACATGCTATGGCTAGCTGTGTGACTCTGAACAAGTACCTTAAATTTGTGCCTCAGTGTCATCACTTGCAAAACGGAGGTAACAATCCAACTCTCAGATCTTGGAAGTAATACAAAACTTTCAACAGTGCATACAAATGCAGGTGGTAGTGGCAGCAGCAGTGGTAGTGATAAGAGTTAACAGGAGCAAGTAATGTAACCTATTTATGTTTAATCAAGCAGTATTTAAGGAGGGAGGGAAGGGCTAGGCTCCTAAAAATGTGACTCAGGGGCCGCTGGGTGGCTCAGTTGGTGAAGCATCCAACTCTTGGTGGCTCAGGTCATGATCCCAGGGTGTGAGATGAGCCTGCAGGGTTCCAAGCTCAGCAGGGAGTCAGCTTAAGATTCTCTTTCTCCCTCTCCCTCCCCACACCCTGCGCACTCTCTCGGGGCGTGGCTCTCTAAATGAATTAATTTAAAAATCTTTTTAAAAAATGCGTCTCAAATCTTTCAACTACAAAAGTATCTAAGCATAATTCCCCCTATTATACCAATAAGGAAAGGGGAGGTTCATTTGCCTAGATTACTCAGTTAATAAGTGGCAGGAATTAGATGTGAACATTAGTTTATATGGTTACAAAACTTGGCTTCTTTCCACTACACATTACCGCCACACCACTACATAGCAGCAGGAGCACAAAACTATGCATTCTGTTCTTTACTACTAACCTCACAAAATCTGGGCACATCATTAAGTCTATCTGCCTCTCCATCTTCTGAAAAATTAAGGAGTTTTTTCAAATTTGACTTTGAAGTTTCCCTCCAGCTAAAATAGTCCATGATTTTATTAAGTTACCACATTTAGTGATGTGTAAACTCATAAAAAGGTTCAAAATACAGCAGAAAACCTTTTCTGTTTAGGAAACAAAAAGAGAAAAATTGAACAACAACAAAAAAGCTTAAAATTGTTTTTCCAGGACTTCACATTAGCAAAAAGAATGTTAAAGAAAAGACCAACATCTAATTTCATATTATAGCAAGTATGACTAAGCAAATGTTTGAGAGAACAAAATATCAATCTTAAGTATTTCAAGATGCCAATTTTAACAACTACATTTTCAATAATTTATGGGGGAAAAAACCCCACAAAACCCAGAGCCCTGACACATGGACAGACCTTAAAATCAAGTAACAAGCAGATTTACCGACTTTCATTTCATGCCAAAACACTGCAACCAGGCTGGGTTTTTGTTTGTTTTTATGTCAATCTGAAAACTCTCCTGCCCTAAAACCCTTCACTGGCTTCCCACTATTCTTCAATTAATATCCAAAATCCTTAACATGACTCAACAAAGTCTTGAATGATCCAGCTCCTCCCTCTGGAGGTATGCAATGTTATTCATCCCTTTGCTCTTTTTTCAAAAATTTCATTTCCCCCAAGACACTTCTTTTTCTTTCATTTTAGGGCTTTCATACAATCTGTTCTTCAAAACCTAGAATGCTTTCACAGCTCTCCCACCCTTTTGTCCTAGCAAACTGCTACTCATTCTTTTAAGCTAAGATCAAATGTTATACCAGCAAAAGCCTTTCCTGACCTTCCAAACACATTTTGACAGCATTCCGGACTTCATAATAATCAAAGGTCTTATAATTACTTGTTCAACATCTGTCTTCCCTGCTAAATGGTAAACAATATGAAGATGGTTATTGCAGCTTGTTTCCCAATATTCCCAATATCTAACACACTGCTCAGTACAGATTAAGTACTCAATGTTTGCTGAATTAACATATTCAAAATGCAGGGGAAGTCCAAAACCATGAGATACTTTACTAGCACAAGTAGCTAGAAAGTTCATACAAGTTTTGAGTTATATCCTACCCTTGGTCCTTCAAATGTTACTCCTTCAAATAGGTGCTCTTTGGCAATTATACTTTTAAAGTAAAGCAAAAAATCCCTTTAGATAACACATCTTAAAGCTTCACAAACCCAAGGTTAGAAATCACAAGTCTTAAACAATTGGAATCAGCTTTAAGTCATTGAGAACACACCTGAAATGCAATGAAAGGGACAGGAACTTGGATAAAGGCTCAATTTTACCACAGCAATATACATTATGAAAGGACCAATCCCAATTCCTACCACTGTCTAGGCTGTACTAGCAGCCTTATTTATCCTAACAGTAATGACTGCAGTGCTACAGTCATCTAAGTAGGCTATGATATCTGAAACATGCTTTATTAAAACTGAATAAAAGTCACAAGCATACACACTACATAACTATAAATAATTCTCTTTTAGGTTATAGCATAACACAGAGATGTTAAACCACTCCGTTGTATAACTGTAGCTAATGTAACATTGTGTCAACTCAGAAAAATTTTTTTAAAAAGGAGTGCTATTTAAACTCAAATCTTTTTTTTTACGTTTTCTGTTCACCTAATACTTATTGAGCGCTAATTACAAACCAGGCAGTGTCTAAAGAGTCTTAATATATATTCATTATTTCCCCATACAGATGAGGAAACGGGAGACATTGAGTTAAGTAATGTACCCAATATTATACAGCTGGTAAGTGGCAGAGGCAATATTCAAAGCCAGTCATTGTGACTCCGGAGTCTGTCCTCTAAATCACTACCACCACTGTTGCACGCTCTCGCTCCATCCACTGAAATAAGGCTTCTATCTGGACCACCTCACTTCAATAAAACTATTTTGCTAAGGTCACCAATGACTTCTACCTTTCCAAACTTAAGGACCATTTATCTGCCTCCACCTTTTTCATCCACTCTGCAGCATCCCATCCCAGTTGACAACTCGCCTCTCTTGCCATATATTTTTCGTTAGTAACATAAATCTCAGTCTTCTACCTCAGATGTGGGCCCTCCTTTCTTACCTATCAACATATTCTTACTAGGAAATCTCCCACAATTCTATGGTTTCAAATACTCTCTGCATGACTCTAACTTTCTCTAGTCCTGCCCAAGTTCTAGACTCAACCCAACCACCTCTTAAATATCTAACGTGGATGTGTAACAAACACCAATTACCTTTCCACCTCCCCTCAACCTGTTCTCTCCCAGCCTTCTCTATTATCATCCATCTAGCTGTTTAGGCTAACTTCTTAGTCATTATCCTTGAGGTCCCTTTCCCTCACCTCCCACGTCCAATCCATTAGCAAGTTCTATCAGATCTACTTATAAGACATATTTCGTTCTGTCTCCACTATCACTATAATATAAACGACCTACATTTCTGCCTACAATGCCCTTCAGAATAGTCTACTTTCATTCTTGCCCCCTTAATCTCCACAAAGCGAGCAGAATTAAAACAAAATCAAATCAGTCCCTGCCTGCTTTAAATTATCTAAGGTCTCACTGTATTTTAAATAAGATCCTAGCTCTTGACCATGGCCTCAAAGAACCAAAATAATGTGGCCCCTGCCTAATTCTCCAACCTCATGTTATTCCATTCTCTCCCCCATCACAATGTTCCTTGCAACCACAGTTACCTTCCTTCTCTTCCTGGAGCACACTGTAATCATCTGCCACAGGGCCTTTGCACTTGCTGTTCCTTCTGTAAGGAACAGTCTTTCTCCAGACTTTGACACAGATGGTTCCTTCTCCTCCTTAAGTGTTGCTCAGATGCTACCTCCTGTGAGAGACCTTCTAATCAGTCTTTTATATGACCCTCTATTATTACAACCACCACTGCTATTTTAATCTGAAGTTATCTTATTCCTTTAATACTCATCTATTACTGTGTTCTCAACTTTGGAATTTAAAAGCTCTGTCACCAAAGCCTCCCACAATATACAGCAAGCGCTTAATAAACTGATTAGATGAATGGATTTTCCCTTTTTCATTTTGTTTATTGTAAATCAACTAACTTTGATAAAGCACCTGGCCCAAAATATATTTTGTATGTATTAAAAGATAAATCCTTAAAACACTATTTTTTCCAGTATAAAACATTCCAGCACTCTGAACACCCCCTCCCCACAGTCCATCTACAGCATCCCACTTAAAACTGCCAAATATCCCATATGGATAAATAACATTTTCTTCCTCCTCTCCAAGCTAACAAACGTGTAAGTAGGAAAAAGGAATCTTACTGGGCACCTTAGCACCTGTTACATCTTCAATCAGTTAAGAGAGGTGCGGGTGAGCCAGATAGCACATGGGAAACGTGGCCTTTCTTTCCGGGACTGTATTTAGGTAAAACGTGAGTGGCTTACATTAGAACTGCCCTAATCCCTAATAAGGGCCATTCACTCCATTTAAAGAAACAAGGTAAAATAGTCTGGGCAAGAGGTAAGGCTCGCATTCAGTAAAAGAAAAGAAACCGATTTGGTGGCCCTCATCAAATGTGTGTGTAGGTTGGAGTCGGTCTACATATAACGGGAAAACAAGAAAAGAAGGTATCAGTTCAAGGACCAACTCAGCGGTAAGATAAAGATCAGCGCAGGCTCTCTGGAGTATCCTGAACCTGGACGCGAGGGTGGAAAAGAAAAAAAACACAAAACCCTGGGATCTCTGTTCACCGCTTCGGCCTCCATCACAGGCACTTCGGGAACTGTGCCCGCCTAGCTCCCACTTCCATCCCTGCAAGGAGATAGCCCCCGGATACTCACATGGGCTCGAGAGTCTTGCTGAGCCAGGACTTGAGTGCCTCGAAGTTTTCAATGATCATTTTAGAAACCATCCACAGCGGCCCGGAGGCCCGTCACACTCCTCCGCCCGCCCAGGTCGCTGCTGCTACAGCCGCCGCTGCCCCCGCCCCCTCCTCCGCGCGCCGCCCGCGTGGGCCGCGGTGGGAGGCGCCGGTGGCAGGTTCCCGCGAGCCCCGATCGGCGAACAGCTCTGCGGGTACCGTCGCAGGCCGCGAATCCACGGGGTGCCAGGAGCTCCCCGTCCCCGGACCCCGGCTGAGGCAGCAACGGTTTGCCCGGGCCCTCCCCCTTCCCTCCACCCGAGCAAATCTTCTTGGACCGGGAGGGCGACACACGCCTAGATCCGAGCTCTCACTCAGCCTTGGGATAAGGTGGTGTCGGCAACGCAGAACAGGCAAAAGTGAAGAAAGCGAAGACGAAGGGCAGCTCAATGGGAACAATTCGGGGGGTCTTCCCGGCTCCTAGCACCCCCAAGAAGATGGCTGCCGATAAATCTCGCGAGAATTGATGAAGTCTCGCGGTGACTCCCGGAGCCTGCTGGGAAGAGACGTAAGACCAGCCGAGAGCGCGCTGGTTGAGTGCGGTACTTCGATTTTTTGCTTATTTGCGTGGTTCGCGGCCTTTGTGCTTTTTTACGCCTTGGTCCGCGTACGGAATAAAGATTTCCTTTTTTACAAGAAGGGAAAGGCCGCTGACTCCAGAAACAGTGGGAGTCCCACTTCGTCCTATGTAACAGACGGCTATGGCGCATCAGTAGGAACGAACCTCCGGACTGGAGCGCTCCTTGAGAGCGTCTACACGTTGTGCGAGGACGCACGGCGGCCAGTGGGTTCCAGGTGTGCTGTACCGCCTCCTCCGTTTATCTCAGTGTCCTGCAATACCATATTTTGTGCTCTGTGGTGTGGACAAGATTGGGAAGCACAGGCTGGTGTAATCTAACCCTCTGAGACTTCAGAGGATTAGTGTCTTGTCCAAAATTAGTCGACTTGATCGCAGAGAGGTAATGATCTAGGGATGCCCCCAAAGAAAGGTGAGATAACCTTGACGGTTCTGAAATAGTTTTCAACCAGCTGAAACTTAGGACTTTTCCCCAGCTAAAGATAAGAACAGTGTGTTTTTAATTCTCTTCACTTAGAGCCGATTCAGCCACAGATAGGAAATTAAATAGTATCAAAAGAGCCTTCATATCAGCGTCCTAAATAAACTTCCCTTCTGGGGAAGTTTGAATCATGTCTGTGTTGTTTTATTTGCTATTATTTACTATGGTTAAGGTACTAGGTGGGGTTTTGCAAAAGGTCTAGTGCCTGTAAACTATAATGAAATGAAAATAATTAGCAACATAAAGACGTTTAGAGTAAGTAGACCAATAAAAAGCTCTCGTGGTAGGCAATGGTAGACGAAATTGTCCTTAAGAACTCTTGAGTTTATAATTTGCTAGACTGAAGTGTCCTTAAGCAATAAGTGAGAAAGATTATCAAGTAAGAAAAGCTAGACATTTGTTTTAAAATACAGCATGTAGAGTAGAATGAAATTAGAATTCAGTGTGTTGATTAACCAGGGTGTTGATTAAAGTGATTTAGCTAAGTGAAATAAGTTAGAAGCAAGAGGACAAATACCATACAATTCCACTTATGAGGTACCTAGAGTAGCCAAACTCTTAGAGGCAGAAAGTAAAATGCTTGGGTGCCAGTGGTGGGAGAGCAGGGGAGGATGGAGAAAGAGTTTTATTTGGGAGGTTGAAAAGTTTCTGGAGATGAGCAGTGTTGATGGTTGCATGGTTAATGCAAGTGAATTGTACACTTAAAATGGTTAAAATAGTAAATTTTCTGTATATTTTACAACAATAAAAGTGATATTTTAATGTTGCTGTGGGAAAAGTAAAATCCTAATTGTTTAGCCTATTTATTTAATAAACTTGTCTCAGGCTGAGTTTTCAACTTCATCACCAACTGTTCCTTAACTGGCCCTCTGCTCCAGCCTTCCAAAGCTAACCATCGTTTTTCTACCAAATACTATATACTCGGGTAAACTGATTTGCTCACCCTCCACTTCTCCAAACATTTATCTACATCCATAAGGAACGCCTCCACTTCTTTCTCTGGCTGCTCAAACCTTACCCATTCTCTCCTAATACCACTGCTACTGTGTATTTGAAGTCTTCTTTGATTTTTCCTAAACAATAGCAATAGCCTTTTAATCTCTCTGCATCTTAGGCTGCCCCCATTATCTGTTCATCTTCAGTTGCCTTTATCATCATTGACTTTAATAGTCATTGTAAAACTTGCATGTAATCATGTCACTTCCCTGCTTACAATCTTCATCAACTCCCACATCGTCTTCAGGATAAAAGTCAAATTCTTCCAACATTCTATAAAAGGCCTCTCATAATCAAACCCCTACCTATTTGCCTTAGAAAGTTCTTCCACTGCCTTTCAGCCTTTGCTTCAGCCATCTCAAGCTATTCCATGTTCCTTGGAAGAGGTGTGTTCTCACACTAAATGGGGCTATTGCAGAAAGTTTTTTCTTCCATTTCACTTGATGAAATCCTATTCATCATAATTCAGTGCATGCAGCCTCACCTTTGGAAAGCCATCCCTGACCTCCCTGCTCTAAACCAAGAGTCACTCTGAGGTTTTCTCCCATCAGCCTATGCTTGCCTCTGTTATAGCACTCTTGCTTTATTTTTGCAAGTATCTGATCATCTGTCCCTTAGTAACTATAGTTTTGAAGCTCCTGCTCCAGCACAGCCCCTGATATATTCAGTCAGCTCTCAATTTTTTTAATGATTCAGTGAAACTCTGCCATTTCCATGAAATCTTCCCTGACAATGAAATTGACAGCGACCTCTTCCTCCTCTAAATCTATTCTAAGTGCTTGTTATTACTCCACATTTAGTCATCAGTGCTTTGTAGCATGCTTCTGTTTCTTAACCATTAACATTTATCGCTTCTCACTTCAGTACTTCATCTTTGGCTTTGCCTTCAAAAGTGATAATTAGCTAGTGTGATCATCAATGCTGCTAAGAAAAGACTAAAACAACCTCCGTAGCATACTTTCTGCATTCAGTAACAAACATTTCAGAATGTTCAATATTAGGTTACCTACTTAACATTTTCCAATACACCATGCTCTTCCAAAGCCCTGTGACTTTGTTAGTGATGTTCCTTTTGCCTGGAATGACTTTCCTCACTTCTCAAAAACCAGCTTCTCACTGATGCCTAGGCGAAGATAGTTGCCTCTTGGTTCCTACCTGTAGGATATGAGTTAAAACATCTTATTTAGTTTTCTCCTGTGTCTCAACTAGATTACGAACTCTTTAAGGACTAGGACTTAAGCTTATTCATCCTTGTACTTCCTACACTTAGCAGTGTCTGGAACTAAAAAATGTTTACTTGCTTAATTTTAAATAGGAAGGAAGTGGAGGCAGGGGAAATATTTTGGACAGGTGAGTCATAATGATACCTCCTAATAGACTTTTATCTCCTCGTGGCTTACTTAGCTGCCCTGATCCTAGGAAGATTCTCTGTAGTGTAGTTAACTCCTTCTTAGGTTCTTCCAGTTCTCTCTCCTAGCTGGTGGATATAATCTTACTACTCTCAGTGGTGCCTTTGGGCTCTTGTTTAAAAACTTAGCCTGCATTTTGACATCACAAAGATATTCTATGTGTTCTATTTTCTTAATAGTTCATTACTCTCCAGAGAATCACATTTAGATCTTTATTCTTTCTGGAATGCATTCCTTTATTTGGTGTAAGGTGGGGAACTAGCCTATTTTTTCTCCAGATGGCAAGCCAATTTTTCTCTGAAATTCTACACAGTGGTCTACCCTTTCTCATTGGTTTTTGATGCCACTTTTATTATATATCGTATTTCCATTTATATATGGCTCTGGTTCTGAACTCTTCAGTTGGTCTCTTTGTCTATGACTACACCTGTCATAAAGAATAAAACCTGTTGTTTTTATTTACCAAAACAAAAAAACCTGTTGTTTTTATTTACCAACATCTTACAGACTATCTTAGTACCTAATAGGGCAAATCCCTCCTTTATGCTCTTTTTTTTTTTTTTTTTCAAATTTTACTTAACGTAAACCTTTGTTTTTCCAAATACTTCTTAGAACAGGATTGTTGAGCTTGTAAAATAAAAATCCTTTATTGAATTTATAGATTAATTTGGGTTGAATTGGCATCCTATAATGTGCAGTAGTCACAGTTGCGCTTCTCAGGTCTGCCTTCAAGAAATGACTCACTGCCCAACTGAAGGCATGTAGTTAGCTGACAGCCTCCAGCTGTTAACTCCTTCTAGGTTCACCTGAGCTTTCAAGCTGAAGGTACACTATTGTCAGGGCAGCCTCTTTCCCCCATGCCCGTCCTCAGCCAAAGACAGAGTCAGACATAGTATAAGGACATACTCAACATTGGTGATAGAGGCTCTGTCAGATCTTGCATGGCAGTCTGATGGCTCCCCTTGCCCAGTCCTACTTCCTCTCTTTCCCTTTCACAAGTGCTACTCTGCAGTAAACCTTTTGCACTTCTAACTCAACATCTCCCCAGAGAATCCAGCTTACGACACAAATTCAGTCATCTGATTCATTCTGTTTTTATGAATTAAAGTCATAGTTAATAACAAAATCTAACCATACCTTCTGGCCCAATTACTTCTTTGAAACCATCCCTACCCAACTCAATTTAATAAGATCTCTCCCAAGACATACATTCTACGACTTTCTCTGGCCATCATTGATTTAGTACCTATTGTTTTATTTTTTGGTGTACGGATACTTTATCCTCCAACTAATGCTCTGAATTTAATTCCCTGTGGCCTCCTTGAGTACTTTGTTTCATCAATTACTTCCTAATCTGTTTTCAACCCTTGCACTCTTGGGCCTTTCCAATGCATTGTTGAAGCAATGTTTCCTGAAGGTCTCCTCTGTTTTAAACATACCACTACTTGCTGAAAATACAGTGGTGGACAAAAAAAGACACTATATCTGCCCTAAGGGGCTTATAGGCTCATAAGGAAGGCAGACTTCTAACAAATAATCATATAGGAGAAAACTTACAAAATATATTATGTATTATAAAGAGGGAAATATGAACCATTTTAACAGTTTAGACTAGAAATGCTCAAGCATGGTTTCTCTAAGGATATGATATTTAAATGGTTAAGAAAAGGGAATAATGAGTACAAGTTAGCCATGTGAAGCAAAACAGAGACAAGAACATTTCTGGCCTACATAATAGCTTGTGGGATGTTCCTGAGGTAAGGAAGGGCCAGGATCTTAAAGGTCAGAGAGGTGAGAGTATGTCAAGTCAGGAGGAAACATAGCTACAGGCCAAATTAGGTAAACAAGGGACATGTTAAGATTTTTGAACAAGATTTTATTTAAAATATTATGTGCAGGGGCACCTGGGTGGCTCAGTTGGTTAAGTGTCTGCCTTGGGCTCAGGTCATGATCCTGGGGTTCCTTCTGGGATTGAGCCCATGTTGGGCTCCCTGCTCAGCA